AAGAAGAAGAAGAAGAAGAAGAAGAAGAAGAAGAAGAAGACAGCAGAGAATGAGGGGGCTGGATGGAGTCACAGAAGCAGCCGGCGTGACCTTAAAGAGACTCCGGAGGATGGTAGAGGACAGGAAGGCCTGGAGAAACGTTGTCCATGGGGTTGCGATGGGTTCGACACGACTTTGCAACTAACAACAACAAAATTTGGAGGGGTGTCTCTGTTTTTGAGTATCTTTTTCTTCCTGTTATGCAGCTGTGGGCTAGGCCCTCTTTTATCCGACTGTTCCCTAGGCAGCATCTCATCCAGGGGCGGGATTCAAATTTTTAACAACCGGTTCTGTGGGCGTGGCTTAGGTGGTGGGTGTGGCTTGGTGGTCATGTTATTGGCTAAGTGTGAAAAATGGTCATAGGCCACTTTTTTCAGTGCCATTGTGACTTTGAATGGTCACTCCACACAAGCAAAGGATCAGCAAAGGAGGGGAAAAAAACTCCAGAGACGTTCCTGAGACAGGAAGTTTAGTTGTGCCAAGACCGTAATAAGGGTTAATGGAGAGGCAGTTTCTGTAAGCAACACCAGAATGTTTCCTTCCTGCCTTCCTTACAGGATTAGGCCAGTAATTTCTTCTAACAACCGGTTCTCCGAACTGCTTAGAATGTTAACAACTGGTTCTAGCAAATAGGTGCGAACCGGTAGAATCCCACCCCTGGTCTCACCCCTGCTATTCCCTCGAAGTCATTCTCATCTGCCATTTCATCCAGGGAGCTTCTCTGGTTGAGCAGGGGCTACAACAAGGCTTTCCTTTGTGCCAGACCAAAACCTTCACCGCTACATCGCTCCGACTCTCACAGAGAGGCAGAAGGTTTGGCTGATTGGGCAAAACTGGCAGGAGGCAGCCTCCCCCACATGCCATCATTCTTCTCATTTTAGCAACAGGAAGTAGAAGAAAGAGGTTGAGAACTGAAGAAGCTTCTTGGACGAGAAACAAAATGCTTTCAAGGAAAAAACAACAACCAAGAAAGTCCAGTTGCCTTTTGGAAAAGCAACTTTGGAACAGCCAATGGATGCAAAAAAGGAATATGAGATCTTTGGCCCCTCTTTTTCAGAGGGTAGGACAGACTGAACCTACTACTCCAAAATAAAATTCATAAAATCTCCCTCTTGTGTGTGATGGTTTATCGATGGAAATTTATGCTTTTTTTTTTTAAATAAATGAAAATGCTTTGAACTTTGTTAACAGCTTCTTCTGATGGAAGGCCTATTTCAATCAATCAGTTTATTACAGTCTTAAACCAGAGACCAAAACAAATAAAAATGCTCAGTAAGTATACTATTAAAAATTCTAGCATAAAATAATAAATAAGAATTAAAATCTATAATAAAGTCCAGTCTGTCAATTATACATGTCTAACTATACTAAAATTACAATCCATAAACTGTGTGGCCTGTTGCATCTTCTTCTGGTAGCATGCCCATTTAATGTCAGTCGGTGCAAACAGGGTATTTAGTGGTTTTTTTTTTTTAGTAATTTAAGCCAGTCCTTATCTGTGTCACCATTTCCTATTTCTTAAAAAGGCAGAGACGGCAAACTAGCTAATCAGAGATTGGTTAAGCGTATTTCACAACATTCTGCAAAGCAAGGGTGATATGGGACACATAAAAATGAAATAAAATCCTGCAACTGCTTCTGGAAAAGTTATTTTAACCACAGGTTGTTTTTGACCAAGGTTAACATTGCTGAAAAGTCATAAAATGGGCCCCCTTCTTTAAAGAGCAGAAAGAAGAGGCCTCAAAGGACAGGAAGAATAAGCCGTTACCAAGGCAACGGCTAGATAAGAGGGGCTTGGGCCCAGAGAGTATGCTGAGAAAACATTTCCGATAAACATCTCATTAGTTCACATGAAGATAAAGAAAGGGAGGGGAAATACATTCAGATTTGCAAGATTACGTTACTACAGTTGTTACAACCAAGGGAGTCCTAACTTATATAATGTTAGGATATAGAATTTTAGAACTGGAAGGGACCTTGGAGGTCTTCTAGTCCAACCCCCCGCCCCCGCTCAAGGCAGGAGACCTTGTAGCACCTCAGTCAAATGATTGTCCAGGCTGTTTTTGAAAACCTACAGCGATGGAGGACTCACAAGTCCGTAAGTTGAGTGGGTCAATTTATTTTCCAGAGCACCAGAAGGCAGGATAAGAAACAAGGGATGGAAACTAATCAAGGAGAGAAGCAACCTGGAATTAAGGAGAAACTTCATAACAGGGAGGACAATTAACCAGTGGAGCAGAAGCTGCCTTCAGAAGTTGTGGGTGCTCCATCACTGGAGGTTTTTAAGAACAGTCTAGACAGTCACTTATCTGAAATGATATAGGTTCTCCTGCTTGAGCAGGGGGCTGGACTAGAAGACCTCCAAGGTCCCTTCCAGCTCTATTCTATTCTAAAAAAAAATTCCAGGAGGCAAGCTACTCCACTGATTAATTATCCTCGCTCTCAGAATATTTCTCCTTAGTTCTAGGTTGGATGATAGCAATAGCACTTGACTTATATTGCGCTTCACAGTGCTTCACTAAGTGGTTTACAGAGTCAGCCTCTTGCCCCCAACAATCTGGGACCTCCTTTTACCCACCTTGGAAGGTGGGAAGGCTGAGTCAACCTTGAGCCTGGTGAGATTCGAACTGCCAAATTGCAGGCAGCCAGCAGAAGTAGCCTGCAGCACTGCACTCTAACCACAATTGAAATGTAAGCACTGTCAAAATGGTTTACAATATACACAACGCTTTCATTTTAAATATTCGTATTGTATTTTGTATTTGAATGTTTCAAATTTTTGGTAAAGGTTATTTTCTAAAAATAAAAATAAAGAGCCAAGGGTCTAGGAGAGAGAATCCTGGGATTTTCCCCAGCTGCTTCCATACCTTTGTGGAACTGGGCTGCAGAGGATGCAACTGGTAGACCGTTAAGCAGACCTTATTTAGGTTGATGTAGAAATTGACCAGGATGTCTGGAGGCAGAGATGGAGTGAACATTTTCTGGAGAGAAAAGAAAAGAGGACAAACCCAGCCGATTAATAATAGTTCAGCTGGCATTCTGAATAATCGATTTTCTCACCCTGTTCTGATCTAGGCTTCCCCCAAAAGCACTAAGCAGACTTTTTGTCCCTGCAAAACCCATTTTATTAAACGAAGGTGAATTTCTTGCATTCACATTCAGCCAAAGGCCTGGCAAACAGCCTTTCAAGGGTCTAATTGTAAGCACAGACCTTATCTAGCCTGGAGAGCTGCCAAGTAAATATTTCCAAACGCAGTGCTGATACGGAAGGACTCGGCACAGGGTCTGAGATGCACAGGCAGATCTTCACACTGCTGCAACGAATGAATTGTTTCCTGCAAAAGTCCCCCTCCCCTTTTGCTCCCCTTTTAATCCCTATGGGAGGGGCCATTCACTGTCCACCTGTGGCCTAACTCTCACGTCGATCCTTAGTTCGTAATTGTTCTTTTCTTTTGGCAGCTCTGTGCATGCGCAGGCTGGGAACTGGCTCCAGCTGCTCCCCCACCTCACTGCTGGCCGACTCTGAAGGCAGCTGATAACTGCCAGCCTGCCTTGGCCCCATCTCTGCCTCCAATGCAGAGCCCTCGACCGAGCCTTCCTCAGCCTCTAAGACTGGCCCAGGTTCCTGCCCAACCTCCTCACTGTCCGACTCTGCTGCCAGCTCCGCTAGCCGCTGGCGGGCCACAACACACCCTCTAAAGTTTCCCGCACCCCTAAGGTTACCGTGAGTCCACTGCTGGCGATCTCTGGCAAGCTCAAAGTGGCAGGCGTGGTGAGACGATTCCGAGCTCGTGTCAGCTGAAGCATCACAGCATCCATCAGCTGGGGCGAAGGAAAAGAAGAAAAAAAACCCAACATACTCAGTCTTAGGCTGATTTGGACATGGGGTTGGCTCTCAGCCCCAGACGAGGAAATCACCCGGACAAGGAAATCAACTCCACAAGACAGTTAACAGAGTTGGACCCTCCCAGTCCAACCCCTTGCTCAAGCAGGAGACCCTATACCAGGGGAGTGTCAAACTCAAGGCCCATGGCTGGATTCGGCCTGCGGCAAGCTTAGATCTGGTCCACAGGCTGCCTTGGAAACACTGAAGGACCGGCCCACAGTGCCTCTGCCAGCAAAAACAGAGCTCGTGAGGGCCACGTGTGATCCTGGAAGGATCACACATCCGTTTTGGCTGTGATGACCTCCTGCAGCCTCCTGCCAGTGAAAACGGAGGTCGGGAGGGCCCTCACAAGCTCCGTTTTCGCTGGCAGAGTGCTAGCAAACAAACTACTAGCAAAAGTGGCATTTGATCACACGAGTGACGTCGAGCTGGCCACGCCCACCTGGAGGTAAACACACAACCCTGATGTGGCCCTCAATGAAATCGAGTTTGATCCCCCTGCCCTATTCCAGTCAAGTGCCTGTCCAGTCTCTTCTTAAAAGCCTCCACGGATGGACCACCCACAACTTCTGAAGGCAAGCTGTTTCCACTGATTAATTGTTCTCACTGTTAGGAAGTTTCTCCTTAGTTTTAGGTTGCTTCTCTCCTACAGTAGTTCCACCTATTGTATCTTGCCTTCAGGTGCTTTGGAGAATAGGCTGACCTCCTCTCTTCTTTGCAGCGGCTCCTTGAATATTGGAAAACTGCTATCACTGTACCCTAGACTATCATTAAGTGTTGTACCTTATGATTCTTGACTCTTGATGAATGTATCTTTTCTTTTATGTACACTAAGAGAATTTGCACCAAGACAAATTCTTTGTGTGTCCAATCACACTTGGCCAATAAAGTATTCTATTCTATTCCTGTTCTGTTCTGTTCTGTTCTGTTCTGTTCTATTCTATTCTATTCTATTCTATTCTATTCTATTCTCTATCCTCCTCCTCCTCCTCCTCCTCCTCCTCCTTCTCTTGACGAATGTATCTTTTCTTTTATGTACACTAAGAGAATTTGCACCAAAGACAAATTCCTTGTGTGTCCAATCACACTTGGCCAATAAAAGAATTCTAATTCTAATCATGTCATTCCTTCTTTTCACCAGACCAGACATACCCAATTCCTGCAGCCCTTCTTCATATATTTTAGCTCTAACCTCCTGTGGCTCTTCTCTGCACTATTTCCAGAGTCTCAACATCTTTTTCCTAACAGGATGACCAAAACTAGGTGCAGTATTTTAAGTCTGGTCTTACTATGGCTTTATATAACTTTGTAATATTGGGGGGAGGGAGGGAGTTAAAAATTCTTAGATTGAGATTGGCCATTAACGACAGAATCTTGCAAGTCTCGTTGTGCTGTGCCTCCCCCCGGCCTTATACTCCAGTGAATGAGGGGAGATGTCTGCCTGAGCTGCTTCCAAATGTTACCCCATTTCTCTACACTTGAAACGTGTCTCCGTTCCAACGGATTAGGCAGCAGCTCCTAGAGAATCATCCAGGCCACTGTCCTTACAACTGCAGAATCCGGGCCGTACAAGGGGCAAAACAGATTCCTAAGGTGCTTTGGAACATTTAATTATTAACACAGAGAGAATCTACTTCTTGGCTAATAAGTCAACCAAAAAGATTTGACCCGAGTCCTCGCTAAAGGCTCTTCTTAAGAGCAGATAATGCTCTTAAAGCAATTGCTACAGAACTGCCTTCCATTGAGGACCTGCATACTGCAAGAGTCAAAAAGAGGGCTGTGAAAATATCTACAGACCCCTCACATCCTGGACATAAATGGTTTCAACTCCTTCCCTCAAAACGACGCTATAGAGCACTGCACACCAGAACAACTAGATACAAGGACAGTTTTCCCCCCAAATGCCATCACTCTGCTAAACAACTAGTAATTCCCACAACACTGTCAAACTATTTGCTGAGACTGTATTACTATTACTCTTCTCATCCTTCCTATTACCTCTCTCCTCCTACTTATGGCTATATCCATGTTGCTTGTATCTTTACAATTTAAATTGTTTTATTTATTTTCCTACGATGATTTGTGTTGATTGCTTATTTAGTATCCTGTGACTATCACTAAGTGTAGTATCTTATGATTTATGATGAATGTATTTTATTTTTTTCTTTATGTACACCGAGAGCTTATGTAGCAAAGACAAATTCCTTGTGTGTCCAAACACACTTGGCCAATAAAGAATTCAATTCAATTCAATTCAATTCAATTCAATTCTATTCTATTATTCTATTCTATTCTATTCTATTCTATTCTAATTCTAATTCTAATTCTAATTCTATCCTATCTTGCTTTCATTCAAAAATTGAGACAAAAATCTGTTTCTAGCTGTGATCAGACAGGCTTCTGATGAGCCCAGCATGAGTCTCTCAATCCTTCTCATGGTGCTCCAACAATATTGTTTCTATTAGCTTCCATGTGGATTTGGTCATTCAACCATTTTTAGAAAGAGAAGAGGCATGGGTGGAAATAAGTTCTATAAATTAAACATTAAAGCATGTTAAGAATAATTAAAAGCAACCCGTGGTCACGTGACCACGATTTACAACAATGTTATTTATTTATTTATTGAACTTATCTGCTGCCCAACTTGTAAATGAAGCCAGCTACCAGCATTGAAAAGGTTAAAATCAATAAACAACAAATAAATATCTTTAAAAGAATAAAAGTAGAAATTCCAATGGAGGTAAAATTATAGTTAAAGATGGGAAGGGAGGAAACAGAGGGTTTTTTTGCCAAAAGCCGGCATTTACTTCCGGTTTCTGACAAAACCAACCCCTAGTGAGCCATGGGTTTGCTTAACGGCCTTGACGGTTCACTTAACAACCGCTGCAAAAAAAAAAAGGTTTAAAACAGAGGTCTCCAAACTTGGCAACTTGAAGACTTGTGGACTTCAACTCCCAGAATTCAACTCCCAGCATAGCTGGCTGAGGAATTCTGGGAGTTGAAGTCCACGAATCTTAAAGTTGCCGAGTTTTGGGACCCCTGGTCTAAAATCATGTCAGTCTGGTGATGACCCGTTTTATGACGGCCATGAGTTAGAACTGTAATTGCCAGCCTTAATTACGGGCGTAGGTCGAGGGGGTCTTGGGTCACAGATTCAGGGTTTCAGAATTGCTCAAACGTTCTCTGGTTTGGTCTGGTTGAAAGCTTGGAAGCAGCATCCTTGGCTCACCTTGAGAACTTCACATCCTGTCTTGAACTGGTAATTGGCGCTCCGGTTGGTAAGCAGGTAGACCGCTTGGTTGACATGGTTCCTGGCATCCTGAATCTGAAAAAGAAACCAAACTCGGATAAGAGACAAACACACCCCACACACACCCAGGATGATCCAGATTCAGTCTAAGAGACTCATTTGGTCTTCCTCCCTCCCTCCCTCCTCCCTTCCTTCCTTCCTTCCTTCCTTCCTTCCTTCCTTCCTTCCTTCCTTCCCTTTCCATTCTTCCATCCATCCATTCTTCCATCCATCCATGGTGCGCAGTGGGTAGAATGCAGCATTGCAGACTAAGTCTGCCCACTGCCAACAGTTCGATCCTAACTGGCTCAAGGTTCCCTCCTTCCGGGGTGGGTAAAATAAGGACCCAGATTGCTGGGGGCAAAGAGGCTGACTCTGTAAACCACTTAGAGAGGGCTGTAAAAAGCCCTGTGAAGCGGTATATAATTCTAAGCGCCACTGCTATTTAGCAACCTTCTGAAGTTATTACAAGGACACTAAAAAAAAAGTGACTTACAACGGCTCCTTGCACTTACAGCCCCTGTGATTTATGATCCAGCGATTTGGCATTTATGATGTTTACAGCATGCCTGTGTGCGTGCGTGCGTGCGTGCGTGCGTGTGTGTGTGTGTGTGTGTGTTCTCTATTTGCAACCTTCTCTGCTGGCTTCCGACAAGCAAAATCAACAGGAATCCAGCAAGGAAGGTTGCAGATAACCATCTCTGAACAACCATATTGTTTAACAATGCATTTTCGGATCCCAGTTGTAAGTTGAGGACGGCCTGTTGTTATTCTCAAGGCACCATTCTGACCAGCTTAGCTTTCTCCAAAGCTTTCTCCCACAAAGCTTAAATGTCCCCAACCAATACAGGCAAGTTTGAATGAGGTTAGAGGCCACTGGAGCAGGATACAGCTGGCCCCCGGCTGATTGTGTAAAAGGATAACAAACTGAGAGGTGTTTTGTCAACATGTCCCTCCATGCCGAGGTCTCTGTAGTTTCTTTGCTAGAGAAGCCTAAAAAATCCACAGTTCCTACAACTAGCCTACATATTTTTCGGAGTATAAGGCGCTTCAAAGTATAAGACACACCTAGCTTTTGGGGAGGAAAACAAGAAGGAAAAAAATCTGCCTCTGCCTCTTTGCAGCAAACAGCCTGTTTCACATTCAGCACAGACTTGATTATCACAAGCAGCTGATTGTCAGTTGGATGGCCTCCCAACGATCAGCTATTTCAGGCTGCAGGGATTTGCCATCGCCTCTTGCCGTCTCCGTGCGCCCCATTTTCACCCTCTGCATCTCGTTTTCAACTTCTACGTGCCCCGTTTTCGGCCTGTTCTGGGCGGCAGGGATTGGAACGGGTGGAAAATGGGGCGCGTGGAGGCCGAAAACGGGGCATGTGGAGATGGCGATAGGCTATGGAAATCCCTGCATCCTGAAACAGCTGTTCGTCGGTATTCCAGGAGGCCGATCCAACCGACAACCAGCTGCTTATGGTAATCAGGCTGTGCTGAAGCTGAAACAGGCTGTTTGCTGCAAGGAGGCAAAGTGTTGCGAGGCAGAGGCCAAAGGGTGGGGCTGGCAGGTGGGCGGGGCTTCGGCAACATTCGCTGTATAAAATAAGATGCACAGACATTTCCACCCACTTTTTTGGGGGGCTGGAAAGTGTCTTATACTCCGAAAAATTGTAATTTTGATTTGTTTGTTTTATCGATGCAATATGTGAAATGCAGACTTCCATCTCCGTAAATTGATTTTTTTAAAAAAAGAAAACGTATCAAAGAATTTAGGTTTTGGGTAGGGAGTTGAGAAAGCAGGGAAGGGAGAGAGTAAAAGTAATTTGGAAAATTCTTGCACGTTTGGAAAGTGGGAAGTGCAATGTTTTCTTTTCTCTTGGTGTTTATTCCCCCGAAACTAAGACCTCCCCCCCAATTCCTTTAAACAGGGAGAGAGATTCCCCCAAAGTCCAAGAGATGAAACATACTTGCTGGAGTTTCCACTGTTTGTCATCCCGGAAGGCAAAGTGGACCAGCTGGTTATTCCTGGGCATTTTCAAGTTAATGTCCTGTGAAAGGGAGGGGAGGAGAAAAAGAGCACAGGAGCCTGTTAGATCACACAATCTTCCTTCCAGAATTCAGATCCAATAAACATCCCCCCCACCCATCAAATTTCCAGCAGGGGAAATTAAATCCCCAAACTTGACAAACAAAATGAAATAAAAGGGGTGTGAGGGTGCTGGATTATCAAGCAGAGAACAGTGGAAATGTTTCCTGAGCTGCATTTGCAAGATGGTGCCTCTTGTTCCTTTGGAGTGAAAAAACAAAACAGGCTTGGGGTAAACAAAGGCTGCCAGAGAGTTGTTTAGCTGATCCTTCTGACCAAGCCAGGAATTGGGTTCCCCAAAGAGATCTGTTGGCCAGCCAAGAAATGAGGAGGGAGATAAAGGGTTCAATAGCTACGCACACTTTCTGTTTGTGTGTTTCTATCTATCTGTCTGACTCTGTTTCATTCTGTTTCTCTTCCTCTCTATATGTGTGTGTTTCTATGTATGTATGTAACTATTTCCTTCATTCTGTTTCTCTCTTTATATATTTATATGTGTGCGGTGTGTGTATCTGTCTGCCTATCTGTTTCATTCCTTCTCTTTCTGTGTTTTTCTTAATTTTTCTTTATTTCTTTCTATCTACTATCTACTATCTGTTTTATTCTGTTTCTTTCTTTATATATATTTGTATGTGTGTATGTGTTTCTGTCTGCCTGTTTCATTCTTTCTGTGTTTCTTTCTTTCTACTGTCTGTCTATCTGTCTGTCTGTCTGTCTATCATTCTGTTTCTCTCTTTATATATATATATGTGCGTGTGTGTTTTTTCCTGCCTACCTGCTTATATTTCATTCTCTTTCTCTTTCTCTCTCTGTCTCTCTTTCTCTCTGTCTCTGTCTCTCTCTCTCTTTCTCTCTGTCTCTGTCTCTCTCTCTCTTTCTTTCTCTCTCTTTTCTTTCTTTCTTTCTTTCTTTCTTTCTTTCTTTCTTTCTTTCTTTCTTTCTTTCTTTCTTTCTTTCTTTCTTTCTTTCCTTTCTTTCTTCTTTCTTCTTTCCTTTCTCTTTCTTTCCTATCTATCATCTATCTATCTATCTATCTATCTATCTATCTATCTATCTATCTATCTATCTATCTAATTCTTTCTGTTTCATTCAGTTTCTGTTTTTCTCTCTCTCTCCCTCCCTCCCTCCCTGTCTCTCCCCCTTCCCCAAGGAAGAAAGCCTGCCCCTTGAACTCACCGCTTGACACAAAGCGTCTCCCTGGAGGGTTAGGACTCCTTTCACCTGGTCGACACTGAAATAAAGGCAGGGCATTAATGGGGCAAAACAAGGCGACCCTTCCTCGCCTTGCACACCAGCAATCCCTGGATAGTCCTGTTCCAATATTTGAGGGGCTTCTACAAAGACAAGGGAGGGGGACTGTTTTCCAAACGCTGAAAGGCAGGACGAGAAGCCAAGGATGGGACCAGACCGAGAAGCAAAACTAAGGGGAAATGTCCTAAGGGTGACAGCAATGAACCAACTTGCCTGCAGAAGTTGTGGGTGGCTCCATCCCTGGAGGGTTTCCAAAAAAAATAAAATAAAGGCTGCACAATCATTTATCTGAAAGGGTACAGGGTCACCTGCTTGAACAGAGGGTTGGACTGGAAGACCTCCGAGGTCCCTTCCAATTCTATTATTCTATATCAGGGGGTCCCCAAACTTGGCAACTTTTAAGACTTGTGGACTTCAACAATAGTGTTTTATGTTCCAAAATGCCCTTCTAACCATTTGGGAGAGATTGGGAGCGTCTGGTTTCAGCCAGCTTTGCCGGCACCAACGGTAAATCCGATACAGATAAAGTGATTCTCCTAACAAGCAAGGGACAAACTGGTTTAGCACCCAGGGCTAGCTTCGGTTTGCTCTCCTTGCTCTTTTGATACAACTGGATCGTGAATCTCAAAACAGGCCCAGTGAGGGATTGGATGATGAAATGCATGCTGCCTTGAATACGTTTTAAAAAAAAAATAAAAATAAAAGGGCCGCCAGGCTTTGGTTGCAGCTGGCGGATCATTAGGCTGAACGTTCTGCTTTGCACCAATCCCCGGACACAGGAAAGAGATGAAAGGTTTCTCACACAGGGAACTCATTTCCTTTTCTAGAGAAGACAAGGCATTAAATCAACAGCCCTGATCTTTCGCATCCGTTCTCCAGCTGCTAGGAAGAGCAAGAGCACTTAAGACTTATATAATACTTCACAGTGCTTTTACAGCCCTCTCTAAGCGGGTTATAGAATCAGCATAATGCTCTCGGCCATGTGGGCCCTTGTTTTACCCATTTCAGAAGGATGGAAGGATGGTGAGAATCGAACTGCTGGCAGTGGGCAGAGTCAG